AGAGCTATCTCACAGTACAAGAAGGGTAAGAAGGCGGCCAACAACGTGAAGGCTGCTGCACGTTCTTCCACGCCTCCGCCTAGTGCTTCCTGTGGCAGCTGTGGAAAGCAGCACGGCCCCAAGACATGCCCAGCCGCCGACGCACTGTGTCGTGGATGTGAACGTAAGGGCCACTGGTCTAACACAGACAGGTGCCCTGCACGAGGCCGCAAGTGTCAGGCCTGCGGTCGCTATGGACAGTACGACAAGTGCTGCCGCCAACCCAAGCCCAAAAGCCCGAGACGAGGAGGAAAGCAGCGCACTTCCCTCGGGGTGGTTCGCACGCAGCCCCCTTCAGATGGCCCACGCAGCCCCAAGCAGCAGCTGAGTCACATCAGGAGGGTGGAATCAACCACACGCCCCAGGGCTACCCCTTCCCCTACCATCCGCGTCACTGTCACACACGGTGATGTGTCGGGTCACATCGAGGTGATACCGGACACCGAAGCTGATACTACGGTGATTGGGTTGAAGCACCTCCAGAAACTGGGCCTCACCAAATGCGACCTGGGACCACCGCCGCAGCTGCTGTAGTACAATGCGGATGGTTCCCAGATGCCGGACGCTGTGGGCTCCTTTCAAGCGGAGATCACCTACGGCGACAGGTCATGTCACGGATGGATGGACGTGCAGCCTACTCTCGCTACACCCTTGTTGTCGTGGGAGCACTGCAAGGAGTTAGGCGTGGTGCCCAAAGACTTTCCCGAGCAGATCCCACCTGCTCGGTACACCGCCAGCAGGGTGCGTGAGTCAACGAGCGACGCTCCTGGCACTGCCGCACAGAGCTGCCCAGAACCCGCGTCCACTCCCACCCACACAGGACGCTCCCCTGCCCAGATCCGGTATGGTCACCCTCTCTGCTCTTGCGTTCCTGCACACGCCAAGGCCTTTGCGAAGGACTGGCAGACCAGAGCCGAGAGCTGCGACCGCCGCGCCGCTACACGTGCCCAGGACGCCAAGGGTCGGTATGACGACTGTGCCCGCCCTCTTCAGCCGCTGGAGATTGGTGCCCTTGTCCGCGTCCAGGACCAGACGACGACACGTTGGGACAAGGTGGGCATAGTGATGGGCGTCGGCCGGTCGCAGGACTACAAGGTCAGGGTGCCGAGCGGCCGTGTCTGGTGGAGGAACCGCCGCTTCCTCCGGCCAGTCCCACCCCCTGCTGCTGGCCCCCTGACCGAGGACGAGTCCCCTACACCTCACGAGGATCCGCCCCACAGTGCACCTCGACGGTGCCTCTGGCTGACTGTACATGTCTGACCAGATCCCATTCCACAACCCAGGCTAGTGTCGCATCATGTGGTCCCCTTTCATGAATCGGTCCAATATGTCGTCTGAGAGGCGTTCCATAAATCGCACATAGTACCGTGAGTAGCGTGCATATAATTAGCATATTTTTGGGCATGCATAACGAAGGAAAAGACAGACACCATTTATTTGATCGTATCTCTTGTAGTTGTGGGAATATTGCGCAAAAAAATCAGTAATGGCCGACTTAATTTGCACATTATGCAAATTGTTCAAGGCTGCCAGGATGGCATCACTTAGATTCTTATTCAACCCCCTTCAAAGATACAGTAGAAAAAATGCAAAAAAACATACAACAACTTTGTAAGGACTCCATTGCAAGGTTCACCTCAAAACTATCATTTCACTGCAGGACTATAAACTAATGTGCAAACAATCATATCGGCCAGGGATGGTATCGCGGTAGTCCGCAAGTTCACCAACACATTGTTTTTGAACCAATCAAGACGTTGGTGCCGTGAACCGGCCGGAGTTTCCTGTAGAATGATGAACATAAATACCCGGAACAGAGGACCATGACATTGCAGGAATTCGTGGTATAATGTTGTCTAGCACTCAGGATGGATGGAAACTTTAAGGTGGTTTTCTTGTATAATATAAGTTATATGATAGACAGTCTGGTGCTGGAGGTGCCGTGTGGTGAGGAGCTGCTCAGTAGAGACGTTCGGTGAGTAGCGTGTTGAAGGAGGTAGATGTGCAGGAGCTTCGTTAGAGAAGATGTTGCCTGTTGCTGGCCTCCTGGTTGAATGAATGCTGACAGCGTGGAGCTTGCTGGAGGAGGTGTTGCTTGTTCAAGAAGAGAGACCAGAATGAGAAAGCTGGTTGGTGAGGAAGCTCAGAGAAGGACAGCTGGTGGGTCGCCATGCTCGCTGGCGGGAGCGAGGACCGCCAGGCAGGCGAGGAGAAGCGAGAGCCGCCAGGCAGCGGCGGAGGAGGAGGTGTTGCTTGTTCAAGAAGAGAGACCAGAATGAATCTCAATGGAGAGACAGAGCTTATATACCCAGCAGCCGTGAGTCCTCTATGAGTCATGTTGGGAAAACCCGAGAAAGTCGCCGGTCTCTAGTTCCGTTGCTAGGTTACCGTAACATCTGGTGTCGCCGCTCGCTTGGTTGCTAGGGAGGATGGTAGCAGGTGGTGACGCCGCTATGCAGTTGTAGGGGAGAAGTCCACTACAGTACTCCCCCTTCCCTCCAGGCGGTGTAGGAGACTTGTTGTCTGTAGAGTTGCTTAGCACATGTGAGGCAGACTGGGCGGTGCATGCCTCATGTGAGACAACGGCGATGGCGTGAATGAGCCGATCGCTGAAATACAACTGTCTAGATACACACTATCTGTGGGAGAAGGGAGAAAAAGGGTGTGTGGAGGCGATGAATGTTGTGCTTCCCTCACGACAGGTACAGGGTCGTCAGATGCGCCTGCTGGGGTGTGTGTGGGCCTGGGTCAGGAGCAGGGGCTGCGTCAGCAGAAGCGGATTAGGGCTCGTGACAGCAGCTGGGTCCACGACAGCAGCAGGGTGCAGGACATTAGCAGGGAGTACCTGAGGGAGAAAAGAGGGGTGTGTGTGTGGGTCCGCACTCAGGAACAGAGGCTGCGTCAGAGGCGGCAGGGGTTACTGCTGGGCCAGGGTCGGCGTCTGAGGCAGGACGGGTGTTCTGGGGTCGGTAGGATGTGGTGCTTGGGGCAGGAAGAGGAGCCGGTGTCTGCTTGAAGACTGGGAGCGTGATCAGTGTCTCCTCCATCCTGTGTGAGTGCTAATCTCCGGGAGTCACCATTTGTAGGGTTACGGGATATAATGTTGTCTAGCACTCAGGATGGATGGAAACTCAAAGGTGGTTTTCTTGTATAATATAAGTTATATGATAGACAGTCTGGTGCTGGAGGTGCCGTGTGGTGAGGAGCTGCTCAGTAGAGACGTTCGGTGAGTAGCGTGTTGAAGGAGGTAGATGTGCAGGAGCTTCGTTAGAGAAGATGTTGCCTGTTGCTGGCCTCCTGGTTGAATGAATGCTGACAGCGTGGAGCTTGCTGGAGGAGGTGTTGCTTGTTCAAGAAGAGAGACCAGAATGAGAAAGCTGGTTGGTGAGGAAGCTCAGAGAAGGACAGCTGGTGGGTCGCCATGCTCGCTGGCGGGAGCGAGGACCGCCAGGCAGGCGAGGAGAAGCGAGGGCCGCCAGGCAGCGGCGGAGGAGGAGGTGTTGCTTGTTCAAGAAGAGAGACCAGAATGAATCTCAATGGAGAGACAGAGCTTATATACCCAGCAGCCATGAGTCCTCTATGAGTCATGTTGGGAAAACCAGAGAAAGTCGCCGGTCTCTAGTTCCGTTGCTAGGTTACCGTAACATCTGGTGTCGCCGCTCGCTTGGTTGCTAGGGAGGATGGTAGCAGGTGGTGACGCCGCTACGCAGTTGTAGGGGAGAAGTCCACTACAACATCCTACCTCACTCATACTGCAGACAATTACTCAATGGTGAGTGAAATTCTTGCTCGATGAGTATCGAGCAAGAATTTCACTCATCATGACTTTAACAAAAACTAGTGTTGGATGTGCCATTGTCCGCTAGTGACATAATGTCAACAACATCGACGGAGTCGACTCAACTTGAAAGGACAAGGATACTACACTCAACACAATTGCCACGCCCGTAATGACCTCTGAAGTTGACGGCCACAAAATTAAACGAAGAAGAAGAAGCAGGGCATCACCAGTCTGTGATTTCATCTGTCGTGAATACTAAGTGTTCATGAAGTACAGTACTAAAGGTGATTTAGTTGTGAAGCTGCTGTTCTCCAGAAAGTTAAAACTAACTATAGTCCTTGAGAAGTTTAGAAGTAGACATTATTGCAGTGAATCTTGACTTATTATCTACGTTCCTTACTTGTCTAAGAGACGATCATGGTTATAATATAGTGTAGTGTGTTTTAAGTGACTACAAGCCTTGTGTTGTACCTAGATTCATATTTAAGCCTAGTCTGGTTTATTTTACCGTGTATCTAATAAAGCGTCCAGATAGTTTTTACTACTTTAAGTACCAAACTTGTCTCATGCTTAGCCTGGCTTATTAAGGCTCGAAACTAAACAGTTATCTGAATCATTTGTCATATTACTTAAGTACATAAAGAGTGCAGGCATATAATGTACAGTACATGAATAGTGCTAGCAAGGTTCCATTCAACCTCCTTGAGTGCAGGCATATAATATACTGTACATGAACAGTGCAGGTATACAACAATAGTAAATGCAGTAGTTACAGTAGAAAGTCGATTCAGCCATGCAAAATAATTGTTTGTGTTGTGCTGTACAAATACGCATGTGGGTTTGTTGCCAGATTGCAAGAAGTTAAAGTTGTACTACTATGTACATGTTCGTATTTCCTAAGAGCCCTTTGTTCACAAACCTACTCCAATTTTATCATTTGTCACTTGTTTTCTTGAATTAATACACGAGTTTTAACGATAGAATTTACTGATATGTTTGTGTAATTACTGCGTCTTCCCTCTGTTTTTGCAGTAAGAAATGCTATTTAGTAATTCCGCAAGTAAAAAACATACCAATAGTGGTAAAAGCTTTGTACAGTTATTTAAACCATTGCCCAGCGGGTTCCATATCCTCAATTACGATATATAGATTGTGTTGATACAGTATTTGTAAAACTTACCCAATGTGTCTGACATATATGCCTGAAGATCTCCGAAGTCCTTTGCACCTTTCTCCTGAATTAATCGAAAATTTGGTGCAAGGTTTGTGCCAGACAGATCCTTGTAACATGTTAGTCCTATATTCAGTATCCACTTCCCGCCCGTGATTTCCCACCCTGCAAATCGAAACTTTTGTGCATTATATAAACGTGAATTTTTGGCACACCTTGTCTCCCATTGTTGGTTTATTTGCTGTTCAATATCCACACACGTTTGACGAGCATAGTTAGAGTGATTAAATTTAGCGCCAACTTGAGTATACGAGATGGCAGCACCTGCTACTGCAGCTGTCAAGGGCGTGAGAAGGTCGATGTTGTCACGTTGTACTTGCTCAACCACGTTCATGGTTTCAGTAATTTTTCTTGTGAAACTAATCACCTGTTTTATGCAACAGCACACCAAAGAATTTTCTAATAACTAAAGCCCTGCCACATTAAATATATAAATAACTTTGGCAGTGACAGCGTATACCACGTAAATAAACTGGGAGTTCACTTGGTGTGTGTCGTCCAAGATGAGGTTGGCCGCCCTGTTAAAGGAATGATTACACACAAATTCATGGCTCTTTAGGCCCTTATGAAAATACGTCATAGAAATGATTTTCTGTATTACAGAAATGTAACGTAATATTAAGTGGGTTTTTTTTTTAATATAAGCAGGTTTTGTTTCAATGGACATCTTAACTGAATTACAAGATTGATACACAGAAACTTAATTGTTTTGTTTTACTGTTAGGGTATACATTTTGAAAAGTAATGCTTTCTTAAAATATTTGTGCAAAATTATTAACTACTATTCATACTACCTTCAGTTTATAGAACAATTAAGTGTCGTTAAGTGCCCTAACAACACTGAACGTGCCTCATGTTATCTTATCAAGTGTCTCACCGATAGCAATGCAATCTAATAAAACTGCCCCTTAGTTCCTTTGTTCAGCACCACACCACAAAAACCAAGGTAGGTAGATACCAGGTAGCCTCACAGGCCCATAGGAATTCACTAATTGGCAATTCTACTCTCGAAATCGCTAAGCCACGCCCCTTTTGCCACTTCATGTGTTTGTAATATTGAGGTACAGTATTATTACCTGCGACTGTTTGATGTAGCTAAATGGGCGTGATGTCATCGCTAGCCAATCAGCGACGTTGGATGGAATCCAGCGGTCGCAAGCGTCGCAAGTAAGATATTTATATTTATTTTATATATTTAATCAGTGGCTCCAATTAAAATAAAACAAAAAATCTCCATTCCATACATTTATTGTACAACTTTTAATACCATCATAAGCCTTCAAAAATGCATAAATAAAAATTTCATTTTTATTTTCATCAGCGTAGATCCTATAGAGTGAGGCTACCTGGCATCTACCTACCTTGACAAAAACAACTACCACGCTAGGCTTTACTAACCACTACAGCTGATAACATACTGTATATATACACAGATAATAACCTTCTCGACTTAAAATCCATGAGGAAGTATAAAGAACATTTAACAGATGGCCGTGGTGAGTCTTTACAATTCGTATTGTAGATAAGTTAAGGAATGCACATACGCAAAAACAAGGTTATAAACAAAATCATCAAAAGACTTGAGAATATCCTATACAGTGAAATAATTTTATTAATATTTACTTGTATCCTGTGTTATCTAGCTACTCACTGCTCCTTATCCATATTTTTTCCAGTCACCGTACCTGTAATATAGCAAAGTAACAACCCACAATTTCCACGAGAAACGTGCAGTAAAACTCGTCAAGGTCAACAATTTGCCACACAATGTACAGTAGGTGTTGTGACCAGGGGGGATTCTACGGGGGGCCAGGGGGGCCATGCGCGATTCTACGGGGGGCCAGGGGGGCCATGCATGCCATTCCGGTGCGCGATTCTACGGGGGGCCAGGGGGGCCATGCGCCCCCCCCCCAGATTTTGGGCTGGCCCCTGGGCTGGCCCCCCCACTTTTTATTCTCAAAATTGTAATTCCAAAAACAATCCCAAAACCAGGAAGTGAATCAAGTGACTCAGGCAATGGGCGCGCCGCACGCCGGATGCAGGCATGGGTGGGGTGAGGTGAGGCCCGGAGGGCAGGAATTGGGAGGGTGCAGATATGCGGAGTGGGGTCACATCACGGTGTATATAAACAAACTGCCTTGTCGGTGAAGCGATCTGGTTGAGCCCAGATTCTTTCTACTCCTGCTGTATTTCAGTTTCACCACTTTTCCCTCAACCCCTAATAATCTTCTTTCACCTCTTAACTAAAGACTTCGTACTCGTACTCGATGAACATTACCACTTTGTATTTCCACCGAGGAGGGTGACAGACTGACAGTAATTGTCGAATTTGTCGCCGAAACTACCCAGAAGAAATATTTCGTCTGCCACAGTGCCACTGGGGGTTTTTCTACTTGCTAATTGAGGTATGTTTAGAGAGAACATGTGAGTAATTTTTTAACTATAGGAGTATAATTAAAATCAGTCAATCTCAATCATTCAGTTCAAGTGGCTGTAGTTGAGCTGAGCTGTACTATAGTGCACAAAAGTCGTGTCCACTACCCAGCCATTGTTAGGTGTAGGGATATCGAGATATTAATGTTGTCTAGCACTCAGGATGGAAGGAAACTCTAATGTGGTTTTCTTGTATAATATAAGTTATATTATAGACAGTCTGGTGCTGGAGGTGCTTGTTCAGGAAGATGGGCAGAATGAGAGTTGGTTGGTGAGGAAGCTCAGAGAAGGACAGCTGGTGGGTCGCCATGCTCGCTGGCGGGAGCGAGGACCGCCAGGCAGGCGAGGAGAAGCGAAGGCAGCCAGGCAGCGGCGGAGGAGGAGGTGTTGCTTGTTCAAGAAGAATGGTCAGAATGAATCTCAATGGAGAGACAGAGCTTATATACCCAGCAGCCACTATGAGTCATGTTGGGAAAACCCGAGAAGTCGCCGGTTCCCAGTTTCGTTGCTAGGATACGGCGGCGCATCTGGTGGGTTGCTAGGGAAGGCGGTAACAGGTGGTGGCTGTGGCTACGCAGTTGTAGGCAGTTGTAGGGGAGACGTCCACTACAGAGGTTTCGAATAGCCTTGAGTGTGAAGTTTCGAAACAACTGGGGGAAATGCTATGGTCGGCCAACAGATGTCGCCCACTGTAGTGTGTGGGGGGGGGGAATGTCTAGTAACAGGCTGTGTGTAGGTGAAGCATAACATCTTGAATTCCGCAATCACTGATAACAATAAGAATGTCATGAAGATAGTTAATATTATTAAGCATGTGTAACGGGTAAATAAAAGCACTACAACGACCATATCTCTGCCGTTCATGGCTACGACGGTGCGAATGATGGGCACACCAGTAATTAATTCTCTGTGACTACCAGTAATGGTAGTCACAGAGAATACACAAGTTGTTACCAAGGTTGGCGCCACCCACACCAGGGGAAGGAGGTGATATCGAACACTGAAACATGTCGAGGTCTCATTCCTACCATCGTCGTCACCAACAGGTAAGTCACATTAACTTGTCAGCATAGCCCATGTCGTCCTTATACTATTGCAGGGTGTCCCATGAGTGACAGCAGATATTTGTAGAGGTGAAAGAATATGTGATATTGAGTTGAAAATCTTCTATACACATAAGCATTTTTCGGTTGGTAAAATCATCAGTTTATCCTTGGTCACCATCAAAGCAATCCTCTCGACATCACTAAACTATTCTGAATCGTCTAAGAATTGGGCATACGCGATTGACGCATGGCCAACTCATGTGTTCCCCTAATGGAGCCCCACCTATATGCTCCAACTGCCGAACACAAATAACAGTCCAATATATTCTCATTGAATGCCCTATTTATAATTGGTATCGAACAATGTGCTTCACTAACCCTACAATGTAAGATATTTTAGCCGAGACCCCAAAATTTTCCCTAAGTTCAGTTTTGACCTCCAAACAATATAACACTAAATTATAGAAACACAAATATATGTTAACTAATCCCTCTGGCCAGCCCTAGGAGAGACTCAAATGGGTGTCAGTGGTCTGGTTAAACTAAATCTTGATGATGATGATGATTATCGGCGAATGTTCACTGTACAGTCGCAGGGGTGGTGGTGGAGGTTTGGGGGTGGGGGGGGAGGATCCACTTGCAGTTCACTATGAATACATGAAATAGGAAGGGTTTCTTGGGCAGTTGATCCAAAAAGATTTACCAAAACGTTATGTCAGAGTAATAATACTTAACCTAGGTGTTACTAATACCATTAATTTACTCTAGTATATAAAAGCCTGCATCAGTTACCACAACATAATATTACTCTGCCATTTCAGATATGCCTGCAGGACGAGCAAATTCGTCGGCAGTGATTGCTGAGCGAGGCCAAATCATCGGGATGTGGAGAGCCGGGGCAACTGTGCCGAACATTGCTCTCGAAGTGGGGAGGAGCACCAAGACGATTAGGAGGTGGATCCGCCGGTGGGAGGAAGAGGGCTCAGTGGAGACGAAACCTCGAAGCGGGAGGCCACGAGTAACGTCGGCAAGGATGGACGCCATGATCGTGGCAGCTGCAACGGCATATCCAATGCGAACATCAGTGGAGCATACAAGAAATCTGGGCCTCAACTGCCATCACATACAGAGACAACTCCCCAGCCACGCTTGCTCACTGTTTCACGCTTTCTAGGAGTGACTTATTTACCAGACGATTAACAGCTTAATTAGGACGTATGCAACATTTTCAGACTGGGAAACGATCTATAATTATTTTCAATTTAATAACTGATATTTAATTTCATGATTCGCGTCCCTATTAACTCGGTAAATTACATTTAATATCGTATAGGCCTTGTTCCACAAACTCTCGCTACGTGCGGGAGAGCTGTCTTCCCTCAGACGACCTTGAACTCAGCATCGCCAATGGCGCAGCGTTTGAAATTACACTGAAATTTCTGAATATTACAATCGACCCCCCTAAAAAAAGACAGCGCTGTCCTCATGTGCTGAGAAAAACATGCATACGACCTCCCTAAAAAATTGTTCTAAGAAACTGCACCCCACACCTGCAACGTGCTAACCACAGCATTTCTGTCTTCTCTTCTCTCTCCCGCTAACACTCGACCCCCTAAAAGAAAACAGCACTGCCCTCATGTGCTGAGAGAACAACTTAGAAACCACCTTCAACTCTGCCCTATTCCAACTCG